TGAGAGTGATTTCGGTCCCTGTCCCTCCCCAAATCCTCCTCTCCCCTTAAGCCTGCTGAGTGAACCACAGGCTAAGCTGCATATTCAGCCCTGGCCAGGCTGTGGTAACGGTTGTGAGGGGCCAGGCTGTGGGCAGAATCTGTGAGTCTGTCTCAGGCATGGGCACCATCTGTGGCACCCAGCACCACGCCTGCTCACAGCAGGCACTCAGCAAAGGCTGCAGAACAAAGAGTGAGCCCAACTACTTCCTTATAATTGTGTTTCTGGCAAAGCCCTCTCTACTTGAAAGAGGTAAATGAGGACATTGCTTTCTGATGCAGGCCACCTAGGTGCCCGTTGTTCTGGGGCCTGCTGTCCTCGCTCTCGTTAAGCAGAGCTTAGAGGTTGCAGATCAGTGGAGCTGGGAAAAAGATTCCGGGGGAGGAAGATGCTTCTGATCTCCAGGCCTTTCCTGACCATCAACCTTTCACCCTCTTCCCATGTGAAACTACCATAGAGAGTCACGTTGTCTAAGAGTGTGTGTGTGTGAAAGCATTCACTTCTGGGGCATTCTGAGCCTCATTAAAGTTTGCAATCACAATGTAGTAGAGGGGACGGGTCTTAGGTTCCTAGTGCTACCGTAACAAAATGCCACAAGTGGGTGGCTTTAAAGAATAGAAATATATTTTCTCACAGTTCCAGAGACTAGAAGTTCAAATCCAGGGCATTGGCTCTAGGGGAAGGTTCTTTGTCTCTTTCAGCTTCTAGAGTTGCTGTTAGGTGCTGCCGAGTTGGTTCTAACTCATAGCGACCCTATGCACAACAGAACAAAACACTGCCTGGTCCTGCGCCATCCTCACAATCACTGGTATGTTTAAGCCCATTGTTGCAGCCACTGTGCCAATCCATCCCGTTCAGGGTCTTCCTCTTTTTCGCTGACCTTCTACCTTACCAAGCATGATATCCTTCTCCAGGGACTGGTCCCTTCTAATAACATGTCAAAAGTACAAGAGACAAAGTCTTGCCATTCTCGCTTCCAAGGAGCACTCTAGCTGTCCTTCTTCCAAGATAAACTTGTTCATTCTTCTGGCAGTCTGTGGTATATTCAATATTCTTTGCCGACACCATACTTCAAAGGCATCAAGTCTTCTTCCGTCTTCTTTATTCATTGTCCAGCTTCCACATGCATATGAGGCAATTTAGAATACCATGGCTTGGGTCAGGCACACCTTAGTCCTCAAAGTGACATCATTGCTTTTGAACACTTTAAAGAGGTCTTTTGCAGAAGATTTGCCCAATGCAATACATCGTTTGATTGCTTGACTGCTGCTTCCATGGGTGTTGATTGTGGATCCAAGTAAAATGAAATCCTTAACAATATCAGTATTTTCCCTTATGCTGTTTATTGGTCCAGTTGTGAGGATTTTTGTTTTCTTTATGTTGAGGTGTAATCCATACTGAAGGTTGTACTCTTTTCTCTTCTTCAGTAAGTGCTTCAAGTCCTCTTCACTTTCAGCAAGAAAAGTTGTGTCATCTGCATATCACAGATTGTTAATCCAATCCTGATGCCATGTTCTTCTTCATATAGTCCAGCTTCTTGGATTATTCGCTCAGCATACAGATTGAATAAGTATGGTGAAAGGATACAGCCCTAATGCACACTTTTGCTGATTTTAAGCCATGCAGTATCCCCATGTTCTGTTGGAATAACTGTCTCTTGGTCTATGTACAGGTTCCTCATGAGCACAATTAAGTGTTCTGGAATTCCCATTCTTCACAATGTTATCCATAATTTGTTAAGATCCACAC